CTCTCGACTTGTATGGCTGTGTGATTTTCGTGTATTTTAATTATGTGTACTGTGTTTATGTCCCCTTTGCCCCCTGAGTTGTTTGCCGCCCTGAGTCCCTCCTGGAGAAGGGCGGCATACAAATAAACTAAATACAAATACAATACAAATACAAATAAACGAGGCTGTCCCTAAATGAGAATAACCTATATGAGGATTCCTGCTTTGGGCAGGGGATTGAATGAAAAGAGTTCCAGGACTCTGTGAAATTGTTACACGAAACTTTATATAGACATCATAAATTATAAGCCATATTATCTAGGCTTCTCGTATATGTACATATTTGCATAAAAGGGTGGGAAAGAACAATAATTATATACTGTACATATGCATGGGATCAGGGGTGGGTTTCCATTTTTTTTACTACTAGTTCACTCATGTGCGCAACATTTCTGCGCATGCGAAGAAGCATCTGGGCAGGTGGGCAGAGCCTCCCGTCGCTGCCACCACCAGTTCGCCCGATCCAGGCTGAAACAGGAGCAATCCACCTCTGTGTGTGATGTGTTTGTGTGATTTTCTTTTGTGGTTTTGTTCCTTTTTTATTTTATTTTTTATTTTTTCCCCCTATTTCGTTCTATAAAGATAAAAGTTCCCCTTGCACATAAGACACTAGGGGGCGGTGTTCATCTCCATTTCAAAGGCGAAGAGCCAGCGCTGTCCGAAGACGTCTCCGTGGTCATGTGGCCGGCATGACTAAACGCCAAAAGCGCACAGAACGATGTTCCCTTCCCACTGAAGGTGGTCCTTATTTTTCTACTGGCATTTTTACATGCTTTGGAACTGCTAGGTTGGCAGAAGCTGGGACAAGTAACGGGAGCTCACTCCATTATGCGGCGCTAGGGATTCAAACTGCTGAACTGCCAACTTTCCTGATCGACAAGCTCAGCGCCTTAGACACTGAGTGACTGTGTCCCTTTCGTTCTATAAATAAAGGCAAATGAATAAATAAATATATGAATACAAGTCCCCCATCTCTTCCCTTTTATAGTCAGGGAAACAAGAATCCTTTTTTTTTAAAGAGGAGGAAGGAATATTAGGTATGCCTTGAAGTTTTTTTTTTATTTTTTTAGAAAAATTAAAAAGGTAATATTAAAAAAAAAATCAATATACAAGTATGCTGGTTTTTTAATGCTGTTTATTCATTATATTCAGTAAAGGAGATAATATCAGGACCACATTCCAAGAGAGTGAGGTGGGGGGATTTTCTTAGGGGATTCTTCAGAGGCCTTTATCACCAGGGCCTCCCTTAGGGGCTGTTGGCTCTCACGGCTGGGCTGCACACAATTTTCTTGAGGTGAAAAGTGATTCCCGCAGAGTAAATATTGGTATCCAGGGGCAGAGCACACGCCGAGGCCGAGCTGCAGCCGCTGGAAGCGAATGCCACAGGAATACCTTCTGGGGACCAAAAAATTCAATCAGTTAAGGGCTCCTTGTGGCATCTGAAAGGAAAGCTGCCAGGGCTGCTGTTCAAATTCTACCTCTGCTATCACTCCAAATGGTCCAGTTGAGGAATTGGGTATGATGAAAAGAAGGACTAAGGGTGACATGATAGCAATGTTCCAATATCTATGTTGTAAGTCAAGGACTAATGGCTTTAGTATTAAGTGTTAGGCATCAGCTAGAGGAGCTGAGAATTTATTAGATCAGACGGTTGCTCGCTTTGTTAAGCTTCGTATTCCTAGCAAAATGACTCGCTCTTTGTAAGCTTCCAAAAAGACATGGTGCCGTCTAGCTTAATGAAAAGGAGGACTAGGGGGGGTGACATGATAGCAGGGTTCCAATATCTCAGGGGCTGCCACAAGGAAAAGGGAGTCAAGCTATTCTCCAAAGCACCCGAAAGCAAGACAGGAAGCAATGGGTGGAAATTTCCTGACAGTGAAAACAATCCGTGGAACCACTTGCCTCCAGAAGTTGTAGATGCTCCAACACTGGAGGTTTTTAAGAAGATACTGGACAGTCACTTGTCTAAAATGGTATAGGGTTTTTTTCTGCTTGAGCAGGGGGTTGGACTGGAGGACCTCCAAAGTCCCTTCCAACTCTGTTATTCGTGCTCTTAAGAACGGTCTCTCAGCTGCTTTGTGGAACCTACAGGGCAGGGGTGGGTTCTGGTGGCTGGTTCGCTCAGGGATGCGCTTCGGGCAGCCATGCATGCTTGATGCACTCTAGTAAAAAAAAGAGATGGCGGTGACTACTGCGCTGCCGATAGAACTGGTTCGGGGGCATGGCCAGCCGAGTTACTACCAACTCGTCCGAACTGGTAGGAACTCACCTCTGTTACAGGGGTGTTAACTTGTACACTGGCCATAAACCTGCCTTTTGACTGGGTTCACACAAGGTACTATACCCTCTTGTTGATTTCTATATGTGTGACCTGGTGCTGACCCCACAATATGAAAATGAAAATGAAACTTACCAGCGGTCAAGGTTCCAGATGTGGTTATGCAATGATTGTCTTCTCCTACGCAGTTCAGAGATTCCATCTCGTCGCACTCATCCGAGGCAAGGATAAAGCAAGTTGGGCAGCTCAGCCCATTAAGGGTGGTATTCTCAGCGGGCACTACAAAGATTATGCCATACAGGAGCCTTAGTTCAGCAGCCCTTAATTATATGCCATAATAGTATATAAATAAATCATTCGCAGTAGCGGTGGGTTTCACATTTTGTTACCACCGGTATGCCGCACTCACGTGTCCATTTTCAAACATGCGCCCGGCCTTCCATGCATGCTCTTTGCTTCCACATGTACCTTCCATGCTTAAAATGTGCCTAAGCAAGATGGCATAGAGCCAGGGTGGGTGAGTGGGCTCACCCATGATTTGTGCTACCGGTTTGGGTGAACCGGTCCGAACCGGCTGAATTCCATCTCTGATTCCCAGGCATGGATATTCTGCACTGGGTATCCTGAAGCTGACCTGACTGAGGCCATTTTGAAGCTTCAGTATTGCCACACTGGAGCTGAGGGATAGGGGAGGAGGGAATAGAAATAGCTGTGATTGTGTAGCCAAAACAAAATGCTTTCGCCTGGAAGCCAAGGACATTCTCACACCTGGTCGGAAAGAGGAGGAGTGATGTTACTAGGCAACCAGACGGCACCTTGATTGGACCAAGTGACTGATTGACTGGGGAAGGGGGAAAACATTTAATTTTAATGAGGTGAAAACTGCAGGAACCTTCAGAGTTGATTTTCACCAGAACTGTGCTAATATGATATACCCAATAAAACTTTTCTTTGAGGAATCTAAGTGCCTCGGAGTTTTGCTTGCTATGGATGCATCGCTTGGAACCCTGACATTAAACAGATATATATTTTTTATCATACCTGCTACGGCACACAAGTCTCATAGAATTCAGGGAAAGCCCATTGTCCTACTGGAATTCTGAATAAGTCACTACTTCCAATCAGATTTGGCAATTACAGTGAGGAGCTGGCCGGGGGGGGGGGGGGGGCACAGTTTTATTCCAGCGTGGTTCAAAAACACCTAGAGGAATATTTCAATTTCAGCTGATGGTGTGCACTGTCAATTACAGGTTTATTGTTTGTGGGAAGCAGGCAGGGCAATCTCTCTTTGACACCAAGAGAAGGAGCTGTAGCTGAGGTCGTTATTGCATTGAAGACCGATGTGTCTTAATCATCTGAAGTTGGACAATCTTGCAAGGTGGTTTCCTAGGAGTTCCAACAACTCTTGATTTGGAAAAAAAAAAAGAGAAGAGGCGGGAGAAAAATCTAATAAAGAAGCCTTAACATAACCATCTAGGAAGCTGCCAGTAACCTAATGGACCTGGGGAAGTAGCTAAGAAGAGTTATTTCATCTTGTTTCATGCTTTTCATACAAGAGGAATTTACTGAAAATCCCCCCAAGAGGTGATGGAAA